TTTGAAAACATCTTGCCCAATTTCAACCAAACTTGACAGGGTTGTTCCATGAGTAAAGGGCTTCAAAAGTTGTTCAAAGACTTAAATGAGGCCTAGAACATAGATATTTTGCAAAAGGCATTGTCTGGTAGACATTCACAAGATTTTCACATTATACCATGGGGGTCAAATTAGCCCTGCACTAGGGTTCATAGATTTTCCTGATATGTATGTAGTTAAAACTTAAAATCTTCTCCTCTGAATTGACAAAGACTAGAGGTTAGATATTTGTCATGAAACATTTGGTAGTTAACCTCTACCAAGATTATTCACGTTACAGACCAAGGGTCAAAGTTAGCCTCACCCCTGGGGTCATATATAAAGGTTTTCCTTATATGTATATAGCAAAAACTTTTTTAAAAATCTTTTTATCTTAGAGCTTAGATACTTGGTAAATAATATCATCAGTACGTCCTTTACCAAAGTTGTTCAAATGTTGCCACTAGTGAAAAAGCACCAGGGTGTCATAGGTTTTCCTTAAATGTATAAACATGTATAGAAAAAAAACTTAAAAAATATTCTCCTCTGGATTGACAAAGGTTAGATGTTTGATATTTGGCATGAAACCTTTACCTGTGTAGTAAACCTCTATCACTATTGTTCAAATTATAGTCATTAATTTTCGTAATGTACTTGTAGTAAAAATTTAAGAATGTACAAGGCTAGAGCTTAGGGCTTTGATGCCTAAATTTTGTCAAGTACAAATGCTTTTATTTTGAATCAATAATTGCACTATGGAGTGCATTTTTCCAGTGAATGCGTTTTGCATGTAAACAAAAATGTTCACCTAACTTTTAAGTCTTGCTGAATGATTCAATACCACATTTTTGTAGACTACAAACCCGCATGTTGGTCTTGTTTTTAAAGTAATAGATAAAAACACTGAAGACTCTATTTCACTATTTCAACATTGTATTCTGCAGATAATAAACCGGTCTTTGCAAACTGATTTCTGTATTGCTCTTCAGTTTCGCAAACCATATAGTCTTGCCTGGAAAAACACAGCACTAGTCTGTAGGAACAACACCTCTTTCTTGTCTTATTAATAACTTGAGAAGAAATAAGCCTAGATTTGTGTTCGAAATTGACTGTAACCAGAAGATGACTTCTATTGAGTTCAGTAGATTAAAATCACATGGTCTTGATGTCAAGCAATGTATACCTCAGTACTTGCAGTGCTTTGATCATATAAAGCATTATTTAAATCAGTACATTGGAGCCTACATTATCCGGCTGTTGAGTTAAAAACGATAGCACTTACACGCTATAAAACCAATACATTTAAATGACATTGAAATATTTTACAAACTGAACAAGAGCCATGTAAACATTTCCAACCGACCAGATCGTAATGATCGTAATCGAGTCGTAAATAGTCGTGTATCGAATTGCTTAGAATCGTGTACAGATCGGGTAAGAGATGTATACCCAACCAAACTAGATCGCTACACGATTTATTCTCGATCAACTAGATCTTCTACTCGATCACTATAAGATCGCTTCTCGACCGCTTATCTACTCGATCGCTACTCGAATGTTTTTGACATGTCAAAAACATTCGGGTAGGAAGACTGAGCCATGCCGACCAAGGTAGGCCGCTCCGACCAACCCCGATCACGCATGCTGACCGAGTTAGACCAGTACCCGATCGCTTGATCGTGCTTGATCGGGTTGATCTGATCGGCGGTTAGAACACAGCTTAAGATAAATCCACCTATGAAGTTTACACTATTACTGATGTTATGGCATGACAGAAATCACACTTTTACTGATGTTTGTGACAGAAATATTACACTTGTACCGATGTTTGGGCATCACATAGATCACACGTGTTTAGGCATGACAGAAATCACAATTTATGTTGTATCGTATTATCCATCATAAGAAATCTGAATCATGTGCGTTCAAAGTAAACGTAAGCAAATCGTTCGGTAGCATAGGATCATGGCAATGGAGGCTACCATGTCTGCTATAAAGATCTAAAGAAAAACAAAAATGGTTTGCATTTCAATTTTTTATTTATACATGTAACAAAAGTTCATCGGCACGCTTTGCTCTTTGCGCCGCGTTTTTGCCGGCGAACATGCCACATGTATATTTCCTTCCGTATTTTACTAGCATCCACGTTAAAGATATATATTATGCTCAAATTTGATATTTAAAAAAAACTGATAATTAGACTAGTATACAGTCTATTCTGGAATGAAAAATAAATATCTTTTGGATACTCACAGAGAAAATATCTTACGTTTTTAAAAACTCTATAAACTTACAGGCATCACAAAATGATAACATAGTGTCATTAAAAAAAACTGGCAGTTTTCATAAGAATAGACCTAATAAATTTGAAAAGTATTAGGGAAATGTAGCTTCTCAAACAGAGTTTATACATTTACTTAATCCAATTAGACATATTTAGGAAGAATATACTAGATTTCAATAAAGTTCTGTAATAAAAATATTTTACCCAAAGATGAGCATAGTATATCTTTAATATGCATACAACCACAGGTGCTCGTCCAGTCTTGGTGCCCATATAAAAAAAATGAAGTTTAAAAAAAGAAAATTGAAAAAAAAAAAAAATTGAAAAAAAAAAAAAAAAAAAAAATCAAAATAACTATTTTGGGTTTAGTTTAAGAAAAAAAAAATTTGAAAATTTTTTTTTCCTATATACCATTACTACGAAGTAATGGTATATAGGGAAAAAAAAATTTTTTTCTCTTAAACTCAACCCAAAATAGTTATTTTGATACTGTTTTTTTTTTTTTTTCAAAAATATTTTTTTTTCAATTTTTTTTTTAAACTTCATTTTTTTATATGGACACCAAGACTGGACGAGCACCTGTGCATACAACTGATCATCATTTGTTATATCCATGAATCCTTAGACTTCAACATCGTACCTTTAAATGTATTATACGGTTGTCATTATGTTATTACAAAATGAGCAACATATTCATAAATCCAGATAACAGACACATATAACAAAACAAAATAACAGTCTACAAATAATGACAACCGATAATACGTTCAAATACAGTACAAAAGAAGACATCTTCAAAATTTCATACATAGAGTGCCCTGGAAAACTTTTACTTCAAGAGATAAAAATAACAACAACATGGATCTATATTTTACGGAAAAAATACCTTAAAAGTTTATTTCAATTCAACTTAATAACAAAGTTACAGAGGCATTCCTTTACGATCAAATATAGCACGGCTATCCCAATTATAAAATAGACCAATTTAGCCCGGTTTTCTTTTTCTTCTAGTGCAAAAATTCAAAACAAATCATTCTAGTAACGAAATAACGAAGTTTAATCAAAATTTCAAAAATAATCAAATGGTATTAACTATTAAATTAAAAGTTCATTATAAATTGTTGAGTAGAAAAACCTCATAAGTTGTGTTATAAAACATGGCGACAGCTTCGTATCACCTTAGGTCAAGTTAAATAAAAGATTATAATATATAATATAGTCATTCATCTTGTGAATATTTTCTCAATGTTTAGTATACAGAAAGATAAACAGAAAAGAAATATTACAATAAAAAACAAACAAGTTTAATGTGATGAAATTGTAAGATACAGCCTTTTCAAAATTTATATGCACCTAGTAAAGATATTGTGTTATTTTACTTTTAAGAAACATCTCCGAGGAATTTCAGACCTTAAATCTGTTTGTAACTGAAAATCATTTTGAGTAAAAAAACTAATAGAAATCCATGTAATCATAATAACAATAATAATAATAACCTTTTTACACAAGGTAACACATTTATACACATAACAATTTGCAACATCTTTAAGGTAATCACATTGTTAACATGTATACATACAATACAGAACAGAACAGAACAAGAATTTTATTCATGACTTGTACAAAAAGTACATCACCACACATACAAATATATACTATATACATAATTGTCACAGTGAAATAACATATTTACATTACATATCAATTATCATATGAGGATGAACTACAATTAATTGTAAGTAAATGTAGTTCTAAGAGATAATGCATTTTTAATATACAAAGCTAGATTTTTCAAAAGTAACTTGTTTGTTGAATTTAAAAGATCTAAAAACTTATGAACGCTAGGTCTAACGTAGTAATAAGGTTTAATATATGTTTTTCTACAGTTCATTATATCAATAGTTTTCATCAAGACAGTGCACCCCTTCAATTTGCAATTAACAACAGTCATACTAAAAAGACTGATTTCAATACCAGAAAACACTTTGTATTTAGAAAGAAAATATGCTAATTCAACTTAAAATATATTTTTCACATCTTGTATGTCTAATAAACATGAATCATACATAAGTTGATTTAATAAATATTTCTTGAAGCTATTTTCAGATAAAGACACTTAAGTTTCCCTTCTAATAATAATAATAATAATAATAATAATAATAAGTTTAATAATAATAATGAGTTGTAAGCAATTCTTAATAACTAAAACACTTAACGTGCTGGAATCAAAGATCCCGAAGTACTAGAAAGACTTTCACATGTCTAAAAATATTGTACTTATATATATGCCACTATTAATATCTTCAGTAGTTTATTAAATTAATAAGGGCCGTATTGCATAAATGTTTTTTTTTTTCGAAATCCTGATTGCTTATTATGTTCAGGAGAAAAAAAACTGTTAATGAATAGCGATACGACGTCCATGAATTTTAATAATCTCCGTCTAAGATGCATCAAAAACAATATTTCTCGATCACAACTTATTTTCGACATAAAACACAAAGTCAATGAGTTAATAACATATTAAAGTCCAATAGGTATAAAAAATATATGCATGTATAAAAGTTCAATACATATAAAAGTGTATCGCATATGAATGATCATTTCATAGTAGAACAAAAATAAACTTTAACCTGTTGAATTTTATATGGACTTGTTTTGATTTCCCTTTTCCCCTCTTTTTTTTTGGGGGGGGGGGTCCTTTTTTAGAAACTTCATTTGGTAGATATCGCCTGTTGATGGGTCTCTTTTCTAAGCATGAACAGTTTTTCTGTATCTCTGTATCTGAGCTTATCGCCAGTTTGGCCTATGTAAAATTCCGTTGCAGCCGTTGCATACCATAACATATAAAACATTTTCAACAGTGCAGGCATTATGGTTTTGTATGAAATATCTTACAGGTCCCTGTATTAAATAACCACAGTGAACACACCTCTGTTCATTGCATTTTCTAACATACGGCTTCATTTTGTTGTACATATCAAAATCCATAATTGTCTATTGCATTTTATGATGTTAATGTTGTATAATTATGATCGTTTTCATATTTCATCGTGTTTAAAGCAGCACGCCATCAGATTCATGTTAATTTTCATGAACATTTTGAAAATGTGTTCAATTAGTATTATTTTTGTGATCGTCATCGCCGGAACACCAGTCTCGCAGTCCTATACCACATTGAAAACACCGGACAAGATCACCAACACCTGAAATAACGATACATTGTAATTACAGCGATTGTGTTTACCCCAAATAAAAATTAAACCGCAATTTACACATGATCAATGGTACTTACAACCCACGTAAATTACCAAAAAGAGGACACAATATGAAAAAACAGCACTTAATTACTGCGTTAGTAACGCAGTAGAAATATAGTTATAAGTCATTAATCGCACTTCACATGTAAATTATTGTAAATCTTGAACATTTTTACATTTCTTAAAATCTTAGTGCATTGTAGTCAAGTTTTATTTTATTGAAATATTTTCGCTCATCTGGAGGAGTGCAGCTCTAAGAATTTCCGTGTTACTTTTGATAAAGCTTAAAACCTTGCTTGATAATATCTCTTGTTGACTGATTGGATAACTCACCTATCAAGCAAGAAATATTTTCCGTCTGTTCTCAATTTGCATTCTACAAACTGCACATTGAGTAACGTGTGGAGCACATGTCTGACAAGAAACCAAATGTCCGCAAGGTAGAAACAAAACGTTGACTTCATCGGTTAAACATATTTTACACATCACCGTAGATTTAAGTCGCTCATTCTCCGACTTTATATCCGAATATTCTTCTAGCTTTTGGTTTCCTCTAGCTTCACCTTTTTCACCACAGCCCTTGTTGTCAGCTTCACTGTTATCTGCTTCTATTAGATTCAAAGATGAAAACATTCTTAATTTTAGCAATTTACCTTTGATTTTAAGCATGCATAGATTGAGGTGAATATAACTTACTTACTAAGTTGTTTGACTTTAATTATGTTTGTATATAATGATGCCAAATTATTTTAAATTATGGTGTATATTTACAGGGTAGAGAAAGAGCATTGCTTTTGATTCTAACTAAAATCGTAAAACGTCAATAAATTCATAGATAGGCGTATTCGACTGCTTCTTTGTAGCTTCAAAGACCTGCGCATCTGTGTGAATCTTAGCTCAAAATAAACAAAAAACAAAAAAGAAAAAGAAAAGAAACAGAACACTTTCTCTAACAATATTAAAGTAGGTATCAGTAATGTAATATGTAACTTAAAAAGTTTGTGATTTCTAAAATAAAAAAAAATACCTTGTCTGTCCGCGCCGGAACCAGTATGGTTCTTAAAGTCCTCAGTAAGTTCCTGTTCTGAATGTTCCTGTATAAAATCTTTGCCTTTCTCGTCCTCCAAATATTTGCACCATTTGTATACTTTTGCGTGCTCAATCCACGGGTCATCCCCGGAACACAAGTTACGTAGCCCTATTCCACATTGAAAACACCGGACAAGATCACGAACACCTGAAATAACGATACATTGTAATTACAGCGATTATGTTTAACCCAAGTCAAAATTAAACCACAAATAAGTGACATTAAGAAAGAAAAAGAGATACAGAAACTTTATCCAATTAACACGTTTGTTAAATATTTCAATTTAACGGAATGTGAATCAAAAATATCACCTGGATATATTAGCTTACATGATTGTCGCCTTTCACCCTCTAATCGTAATTAACCGGAACATGTCAAAATGGGTAAACAGTTGCAATTGTATGGTTAAGTAGGGAACTTTGTTTAAATTTAAAAGTAAAGCTCTATTTGTTCCTTTGGTTTAAAGTAAGATCTACATTAGGTACTTACTTCTCTAAACAACACAACAAATTCACTGTACTGAATGATAACAAGATTTGGTAAAAATGAAATATAAGTAGATGTTTAAATCATTCAAACATATTCAATTTCAAAAGAGTTTGTGAAAATATAGCATTATCTTTGGTCTGATTAGTTGTATTTCATAAGCCAACTGTATCAAAGTTGCAATACATTTTCTTACGGGCATCCAGTAATACATTTATCGCTTTACACAAAAAAAATGTAATCTAGTTTGGAAAAGCGTAAAATGTAAAGCAAATAAAAACGAACACAAATGTTTCTTCAATATAATCATTTACCTGTATAGAAAAACCCGGCATCGGCCAGTATATCACTGCGGACGACTTCCTCTTTAGTCCAGCCTTCCTCATATGACCTAAATCTGTCGGAACTACATTCAAACTGTGCAAATTTAGGATTTCCCCGTGTATACTGTCCCATTCCTAAATCTTGTGGAACACCTCCCGATGCACCGACTGTTCCTTCGACGGCTACATCACTATTTTGAAGCGATGAATCAGGGTTTGAACTAACAGCTTGTCTGTGTATAGGAATGTTATTTCCATCGGTCCCTCTAACAAAATCACAATCAGGCGAACGTTGTTGATGTTTATCAGCAGGCTCGTCAAATTCACTCCAACCACTTAGTATGATCTTGCATGAAAAGCATTTTACGCTGTCAGTTTGTCCATTCCCTACGTAATAAAACCCTTCTTTCGCCAACTTACATGATGATATCGGTAAACTATCTGGACATGATTTGTAGGATGCAAACCTTAACCATTCAAGATTCATGTGATGATCTCGAACTTCACCATTTGTCAAACGGTCACAGAACCTTCCTATCATCATAACGTATATATCCTTTCTTATCTTAAAACAAACTGATACAAAAACAACTTTTTAGTCTATCACAGGTTGGTTTCCCTAAAATGGAATGGAAAACCATACTTTAATGAAATGAACATTTTACACGTTATATCATTATACAAATCCTTTATAATACATTAATTTATATCATAATCTACAATGATAAAAAAATTGGAATCTATTTTATAAATGCAATAATAGTATTCATAATTTCGTAAATTATAAATGTTATCACTACATTTGAAAAAACAGAATGTTAACCGGCGTAGAAATATACAACATTTCATACCTTTTTCTTTACTTGGAACGCAACTCACAGATTCGATCATTGATTCTCGAGCCATTCCATTGTATTTTACACTTAATAAGTACATATATTTAATATTTTTCTCATTATAACACGAAAGAATTACATACCTGTGCATAAATGAATTTATTCCTCACTAAATTCTACCACATTCTCCCTCAAAATGAGTTGTTTTTGGTTTACCAGCAAATCATTTTGGAAAAACCTTATCTGGAAACCCAAACTGACTTGTTCCTATTTTTGACATAATTAAAAATATATATGATTTCAATATTCCAAAATTTGTATACAATCAAAAGCACCCAATTATCTACTTACAATGATTCATTTCAACGATGATTTTATAACATTTTTTCGCCATCTTTCTATGATGTATAGAAATAAACAATGATCATTTGGTACAGTACTTAATGTATATAGCTATAAGAGGTTTCCTAATTTTCTTGTTATTTCAGAAATGGGGCTTCTGTTTACTAGCAGGGCAACTTCCTTGAAGTTCAATAATTTGATAACACTCTCAATTTTATAAATTATCCGCTTGTGTTAACCTTATTAATATTCTTGCTTATAGCCCAATATTAATCAATAGTGATCAATAATAAAATTTAGTAGTTGAAATAAATTAATATCGTTCCATTTTTCATTTTTTTTGGCACATTAAATCTATTCTAAAATCGGCAATCATACTCGCACTGTAAATAATTTCAACCACTCCAAACTGATTTTATTTTTACAAATTTTAACTAATAAACACTTACGTAAAACAGGAATCTTGTTGTTAATAAACCTTTGTGATGAAATTAGGGATTAAAAATTTGTTATAAAAGATTGTATATGTACTTAAACTTGGAATCATGTGTTATCATTATTACATTTATTCCATGTATATTGAACCGCAAAAATGTTAGTTAACAAACATGTACATGTTTTGTCAATACTAGAAATTGTGCCCATTTCTTTTCAAATTGATCTACATTGTTGACGAGATAGAAATTTTATCTATATAAAAAGTTAGCATGTTGAATTGTTGTTCTTGTTTTATTATTTTTCTTCTTCTTCTTCTTCTTGCACCAGCAGCAGCATACCAGTTTCAAACATTATTTAGAAATGAGAAAAATCTGTGCCCACTGCTGACAGATGGGCTGTTGCTTAAACTGTATCCAAATTACAATACATGGGCTTTTGTAAATGTCGTTACTGTTGACGTAACATGAGTCCATTTTCATGAGCCGAAACGAAGACACAACTCAAGGCCCCGCTAATCAAGTCCCAAAAGGCAAATATGTAAGTGATAAATTTTACTTGACACAAGTTCTGAAAACTAAACAAATACTTCCAAAAACTAAGACCCGCAACAGGTTTGGTCAATGTCAGATTGCTGCAAGACATCGCGTATTTACATGAGGCGTCTACAGTGCAAGAAAAAAAGTTGTTATACTCCACTATCATCCGTATTCACTTACCTTGTCCCTTGTGGCTTCGTTTTGTTTCCAAAGCTAAAAACCCCAACTTTCAGGCTGAAAATTTGTTCAGCACGAACACTTCGGAGTGTAAAATGCCCTGAAAGATTGGATCCGGAGAATGAAATTTGTATATCTATTCGAGGTGAATATTTTATAGGAAAATAAATAAATAAATAAATAAAATCAGTGAAACCTATGACTTTTACTAGCTTAGGTGCATTCATTTTTGAACACTCCTCTTATTGTTTTGATAAGGTTTGCAGGATAAAACCAAATATTTGGCGGTAAGCCTGTGGCAACCAAAACCTTGTTGTTATGCATCAAACCTACTTTGCTATTTTTGGTATTACAATCAAAAAAGAGCTGAGAAGTGTTTGTCTGTGTTCAAACACTTTTCAATATGGGGACAATACTTTTACAGTATTATTTTCAGGGACCAAATATATCGTGCAGCATTCTGTAAAACACGTTTTATTCGTACATATAGAATACACGTGAGCGTTAAAACGCTTTAATACATGCGAGCGTTAAAACGCGTAAAACACTTCAACAAAAAAAATTGCTCGTATGTTTTGTGAGTATTATAAACATACATTAAAGGATTCATGTCATATACATATGTCCTTAAGCCCCAAAACAGTATTAAAATATCACTGAAATATGGAGTTGATTCCAAAAACTTATGCATGCATTTATACAAAATATTTGATGCTTCTATTTCTACATATGATAACTGAAGCAGAAGATCAACGCAAAAATTAACAAACAATGTTGTCAAAAAAAATAATTTTATAAAAACATATACGGTGATACAGTTCATACATTTATAATCAATTCATATTTTCCTCAACAAACAATAGAAATAATACTAATTAACAAAAAATACAAATAAAATGAATGAAAATGACATGTCACCGTAAATACAGCATGACATAAGGCTTAAATTTTCAGTCACTTAATTTTGTAAAGATGAGCACGTGCTTACGTGCACTTCATTCTCAACATTACTGACAGTTCTTGCAATATCATATGTGATTGGCAAATCGTCATCAATCCTTTTCTTCATGAAATAAACTTAATATGATGGAAGTTAATTCGACCTGAAATGTCTTATGATGTCATTGAAGATTTAAAATTCTGTATACACGACAAAAGTTCCTTTAATTGGTGTCCTACAAACGGCGCACCGGTCCAATAGATCCGAGCAGCCCGCACACGCCACCATATGGTTGCATGGTGAGAAAACTACATTCATTTTCCTAGTCAAACATATCTTACACATGATTCTTTCCTGTATATCTGTAAAATAAACATAAAAGTAGATAAAGTTTAACGTACGAAAATAATGAACATGTAAATGAAAATAAAAAGAAAGACTGTTTTACACGTATAACATCTTTCAACATCCATTTGAACATTCTTTTCTGTTTGAATTTCCTATACATATATTTAAAAAAAATGAAGCTAATTTACTTACAGAAATATCTGTATCATTATATAATAACTGATACATGTTTTATTTTTCAATTTTATTTTTATATCAATGTTATACAATTTTATGTAAGAATGTCACTTTAATCTTACCATCCAAGACTTTTGCGTTTGTTTCGACCTGAGAGGCAGAAGTCATTGACCTTTCCTTTTGTTTTTCTGATGTTTCTTCGGACCCTAGTAAACCCCTTGTCGTTTCAGGTGTTTGGCTGTCCGTTAGGTTTACACTATCTGTAGATGGGTCTGGCTCTTTAATGTTTGTTTGGACTAAGTCTGCCGGTCGGTCAATATCTTCGTGCCCGTAATCATGTTTCGATGTTAAAATTCTTCTTCGTCTGATTCGTATATAAACCAGCATACCACACACTACCAGGACCATTGAAACGCTCATTGAAACGAGTGTTAATTTTCGGTTTGGTGTGTTAATAGAGCTTCCTTCGTCCATATCGTTTGGAACCATACAAGGCACACCCTTCATCTCTGTGTGTTTTGTACAAAAAAGTGTTTCACTTTCAAAAGCAGACGCAACAAAATCGTTTATTTTACTTTCACAAGAATATCCATTAAAAGCAGACACACACAAAACTAGAATGAAAATATTATATCCCTCCATTGCTGTCTAGCATTTACATTAACACTAGAATTAACACATTGTAAGAAATCCCAATTTATGCGTAATCTTTGTTAAAAATATAAAAATTGGTTTCCCGGAGCTTTAAGCTATAAATAGACCCATAAATGCGCACAATCTATAAATGTATTTAGTTATCCGCTCTTTATTTTTAGATCCGGTTTTACCGTAATGTAAATATAAGTTAAACTTTATTTTAATTTTTGGAATTATTTATATAAACTATCGATTTACTAGACTTAACATCACTAAGTCTAATTCCGCGCGTCATCAATTGGCATATTTCCATGTTAATAGTGTTAAACTTGTTAGAATTGACAAATTTTAGTCATACACCTAAACACATCAAAGTTTTTGTACATGTAAATTTTACATTCTGCAAAAAAAACAATAGCTCATTAAATGTGTGCATACGTCTGAAGTAATCATTATTTTTTTAAATGTTCTTAGTTGTTGAAAAATTAATTTTGAGTTACAAATTAAAAACAGTTATTATTTTTCAAATTGAGCCATATATAATATTTAGTAATTTCATGGAGCTAAATATATATAGATCTGAAACACGAAAAAAAAAACAGAGTGTAACACCATTCCTCGCGATTTAAATGTTGACATACTGTTTTCAAAATGGCCGAACTATGATCTATGTCTGATTTTGATTGAATAAAATATTGTTTCCTTGTGTCTTTCCCCACACACGAGTATCCGACCTGGGGAGAAAATATGATCAGACTGATAAAAAACCTCAATAAAAATATGAGCCCCCTTAAAAATATACTACAAGTTAAGATTTAACTTAACTTATATTATATTTGCAAGGGGGCTCATATTTAACTTTTTTTGGGGGTTTTTGATTTTAAGATTAAGATGAACACAGGGTTTTTATCAATCTGGTCATTTTTTTCTCTTCCAAGGTCCGATACTCGTGTCTGTGGTCATACAGCAGAAAATACCTAAATGTAATAGCTTATGCAGTAAGTTATGTTTCTCTTCTTGTTTCAAAGCGTTAAGTACCTTGAACTAAAAGGAGCACAGAATAATACTTTACCGAAGTAAAATGGACCCCATCCAAGCTCTAGTGCAGGATGGAGGGCATTATTTGAATAAAGCCTGCGGCTTCACATGTACAAAATAGCATTTCATTTTGAATTTATGGTTTAAGGTTTAAATTTCCCGCTATAACACGGGCATGCTTTTAGCGTTGTGGTTGTCGCGTGTTCTTAAAAGTTTATGTTATTTTTAAAAGTTATTTTGCGCTTAACCGCATTATTATGGCCCAAGAGGCTCTTCTCGATAGGATAGACCTTCATGCTTCGGATGAGGAGGTAGATTTTTCTGGGTTTTCGGACCAAGAAAAGAGAAAAAGTCTTCGAAAAAACCAGTTAAAATCCGTCGTGGTGGAGAAAGAAAATAAACACCCTCGTGGTAAAGGCAAAAAACAGTCAGGTAGGCAAAAAAAAAACAGTCAGGTAAAAATTTGAATACTAATTCTTCGGAATTATCGGACAAAAATTTATCTTCGGATAAATTTTATTTGAAAAAATTATCTAATAAGGACATTGAAGGTCATAGGACTCTTCTTGGTATACAGCCTGTTCAACAGAATCCTCAGTTTGTCCCTGATTGTGATAACTATGACTATAATGAGGATAATTATGATTATATGGATGATGAATCTGTGAATGATAACTATTCTGCTGTTCCTTCAGCATTAAAACATAATCTTAGGGTGGAGGTTGCTACCCAAGATGTTGATATTGAAGATACAGGGATTCGTAATATGTCAAAAGAGTTTTCTTCGGCTTTTGACGATGGTTGTACTGATAAAATAATTTGAGTCAGATAGTGATACATGGGATCTTCCCAAATTAAAGACACCAGAGAAAGGTGAGCCAGTGAATGAGTCCTTGGCCAATTTAATTAACACAGCATTTACAGCCCAGTGTGACTTAGACTCTATTTTGAATAAGTACCAAGTACTTTAGAATTGTGACAGGGCCATTCCGCCCATTGTTAACAAGGAAATATGGAAAACATTAGACAAAAGAGCCCATTTTCAAGATAAGTTTATGGTGGACATACATAATCTTGTGGTCTCGGGCCTAGGTCCAGTTGTCCAGTTGCTCGAGTATGTGAAAAAGAACAATCTCATGAAAAACGAGGCAAAATGTATCTTCTCTGACTTGTTTACTGTTCTGGGTCAGGTGCAATACAACCTCAGTTTGAAGAGGAGATATCTTATAAGACCGTATTTGAAGAAGAAGTATTCTTCATTGTGTAGTATTTCGATGTCTATAACAACCCAACTTTTTCGTAACGATGTTAAAGAAGTCAAAAGTTGTGATGCTTTATCGTACATTGGTAAGGATTATACTTACAGCAATTATAGAGGTGTTCAGCGTAGACGCTCTGGTCGTGGATTTGTTAACTCCAATTTTAGTAATTACGGCTACCAGTCATTTACATACAATCAGCGTTCTGGTTTTAGGACTAGACCGTATCCGTTACGTGGACAATCTTTCAAGATTGGTCTAGGCGGACGAGGAAGAGGCATGAGAAGAGGTGCCTTGGCTTCTGCTACAGCCAGTGCCCCAAACAATCAGGAATAAATGAAAGGGTAAGTTAAGTTGGACGTACAAGGTTTCTTTTAAGTGTATGGAAAAATTTACTTCAGATCCTTGGATCTTGAATGCAGTTTCGGGGTATAAGATAGATTTTAATGAAAATCCTTTTCAAAGAAGCATTCCAAATGAAATTCCTTTTTGTTCAGATCAAAAAGCAATTGTTCATAATGAAATTCAAGATTTGTTGAAAAAAGAAGCAATTATTAAATCAGAATAAGAGATTGATCAATTTATTTCAACAATATTTATTGTTCAATAAATTTCGACCAGTTATAAACTTGAGATTTTTAAATGAGTTTGTACAATATAGTCATTTTAAACAGGAAACATTTTCTATTGTTTTGGATTTGATTAAACAAAATAATTTTATGACAAAAGTTGATTTATCTGATGCATATTTCTGTATACCTACACAGACTTCACCCTGGAAATATTTGAAGTTTTCATTCAATTTTATTTTATACTCATTTGTATGTTTACCATTTGGTTTGAAAATAGCCCCATACTTGTTTACTAAAGTATTACGTCCCATTTTTGCTTGGTTTAGACAGCAAGATATACATGTATGCATTATTTGTATGTTTGTACAAAGTACCTCTCGGAATAAAGTACCTTGAGGATAAAAGATCATCTATAAGAGTTTTGTTCATTGCATCTTCAATAACTTATGCAAAAACAAATACAATCTAATTAGCTTAGTTTCGACCCCAACCCTCACACCAACTAGAAGGCATTCTTGAGAAGATTTAATGTTCTTCTTGTTTAACAATAAACGCTTTTCGGGAAGGAACATCGGATTAAGATATGGGGGTGGTGAAGGGGCCAGTATTAAAAAAATATATATGCAGAAAAGTATATATAGACTATGAGTCATCGTAATTTGTCATTGTTACAACTTTAGAACGTTCTTGTTAATATTGTTTGTATTATATTTATAATAAGGAAAATGTAAATAAAAGGTACGTTCATTTGATTCCAAATATCAGTGAGAAATTTCATTGATTTCAAACGTTATTTAACATAATTACAGCCACCCTCGAAAACTAGAATTAAAACAAAAGTTGGATCTGACGAAATTTTATCTATATAATATTTTCTATCGGCACCTTTTTTCAGAAGGCCATTTAACAATGAACCACAATTTTTAAAAGAATCTATCTTGCTATTTATATACTGGTAAATTGCACGTCACATGTTTCTGTATACCATAGGTAATGAAGTTTTATAAAAAAAAATGGTCAATGATGATTATTGGCCAAACCAAATACATGTTATTAAAGTGATATTATGTCCATCAAATGGTGAGTGAGCAGGATAAAGCAAAATAAGTTGACATTTTTTTTTTGCCATTATTCCTTTTAATTTTGCAATTTACTTCACATGAAAGATAAATAAATCACGTGGTCTAAGGAAATTTCTGTAGATGTGTGTAACGTCAATTTATTAAAATAATGGGGCAATCTTTTTTATATTTCGGGCAGATATTTTCACACCAAGAATTACTTGCAAAATGTCAAGTGTAATCTCTTTATATCTTAAGATTTTGTAAATCCAAGAACTGGACAAGCATAATTTATGATAGAGCCGACAATAGAATCAAATAATTGCAAAGAAACAGAAGGGGATATTTCATACGTGTTAATATTACATATCAAAACATTCATTGTTTTCAAAGCTTTACCAATAAGATATTGATTGTGGAGTACTAAAGACCCAGTATAATTAAATACTACAACTCGTCAACAATTTCCAAAGCTTCATTATTATAAAACGAAGTACCGATCCTTTATTCCGAAAAACAACTATTTTAGTTTTGGCTGGATTTATCTCTGGGCCCCATAGATTGCAGTATTCAAATAATATAAAGAGTTTAATCTTTGCTGTAAATCCTCTTGCGAGTTACCAATTATTACCATATCGTGCAATGTTAAACACACGACTTAACAATTGAACACATTGATTTAAAAGTTCTAAGTAACTTCCCATCTAATCCCATATTAAACAATTTATACCATAATGAATTGCGGTTCACAGAGTCAAATGCCTTTTTAAGTCGATAAAAGCACAAGGTAATCGCATTTTTTGAGTTAACGCCTGGTTAACACGAAAATTGCACCGACTGTACTACATCACTTTCTGAAATCAAATTGAGCGTTTGACAAAATGTTATTATCATCAAACCATTTTTTCCACTCTATTTGTCAAGACACTTATAAATAATTTCCCAAAGTTACTAAGTAATGCGATGCCACGATAATTGTTAACATTAGTATGATCGCCTTTTTTATAAAAAGGTAAAATAATGCCTTCAGACCAAGTCTGCATCGAAAACTCTGTTAAAAAGATCAATGAGACGGCCTACTGATATATCAATAGAAAATATAAAGTATTCTTTCAACAAGTCATCACTTGGACAAGACTCATCACTTGGATAAGACTTAAATAGTTGATTTTTCTCTAAACGAAAAGTTTTTGAATCAAAACCATAAATTTTATACTTTAAATAACTAGAATTAAATTGACGAACCTACGCCAGAAGTTATAGCATTATTCTTCCTTTTTTGTGATGAAACAACATCCATTCTAAGATTATTTGTCATATTTTTTCAAAATAAAAGTCTAAATGGATTGATTCTTTGGTGACGTGTATAATCTTGTTCAATTTGAAAGCTGGACAAGTTCATTTAGATATAATTAATAGAAAGAGTTGAATGTTTTAAAAATTGAATAAAAATGAAAGTTTGTCAGACAATACTGAGGATTAGGTCTTTTAACTAACGAACTACGTTTCACTAAACACCGAAGACAGTTATGCACATTATAATTTGCAATGGCAAGTGCAAAATATCTAAATGTCGCAAAATTTTTACATTACTTTCTCGAAAGGTTCATACGATGTCATATGAAATGGACAGATAATGCACGGTGAGATACTGATACTGCTATGAATTCTATTCTATGCAATATACATTCTCAAAAAGCTGTCGACAGTAATAAACGAAAACAACACAACAAATTGTTGCTTCCAAATGACATGGCCAAATTATATATCTATGATTTAATTTCATACATAAGAGCAGATTAATGGTAAAAGTATATATGGAAATATCTAAAAGAAGACATTGACATACTAAACCTTAGTTCAGAAAGGTTTATAGTTATTTGCGGGTATCACAAAACTAATTATTGTTTAAAAATTTATCTGTTTTTTCCGTTAGTCGTTAAAATACGTCTACCTTCATTTGAACAATTTTCTAATGAGCACATCTTTCAGAATAACCCTCGTATGATTCATAATCATTTGTTTATAAGACATTGTGAGAAACGTATTATTGTCGAGCCAGTTTGTACATCAAAAAGATTAACCATTAAGATAACTAGTTCATTTTTTTTTCACTGATTCAGTCTTTTTTGTGCTTAAATCTAGGAAGGATTTCACGAGGATTGCACGTACAAATGGGAGTGATGGCACACTATTCGTATTTAAGCGCTCTAAAGTTCCATGTTGTAAAAATTTTACTTTATTCTGGAATCATTTGTGACCTGCTTGCTATAACCAATTCGTTAGAAAAAATTTACTTCCAGAAATACTTATCATGGGGTGATGGCCTACGAGGCACCAGTGTTTATGAAACGTTTTACAACAAAAGTCTGAAAGAGTGTGCTTTAATTTGTAACGGAATTTCAGGGTGTGTCTCTTTTAACATGAACGATAGAGGAACTTGTGAAATTAACACTACTCCGTTTAACCTCTGGACTAGTAATCTTATTAAAGAATCTTCATGGAATGTTTTTGAAAAGGGAAATTGCGGACTTGGAAGGAAAACAACAAGAACGTGTCTTTTATCACTTCGCGGGACAGTTAGTGATTGGTATGGTAGCAGAGAGGTTTGTCGAAGCGGACACGGAGATTTAGTAAAGATCGCAAGTCAAGCTGACGCCGATGACATCTCAAAACTAATGACCGAAATGTTCGGGGCCATTCAAATGCAGGCGTGGATTGGGTTGAATAAAGTGAGTTCAAACGATTTTATATGGCCGGATATGACAAAAATGATTTTCAATAAATTCGGGGATGGGCAACCAAAAACAGGACATGACTGTGTTCTTCTGTCTGGGTCGTATCATTATTTCTGGTATACGGCTAATTGCAGTAATCTAGAAACATATATTTGTGAAAGAAGAAACAATTAATTAAGTCCGATACCGGTCACTTTATCAAAACCAAGTCCTACAGGATCAGCGTTGTTAGCGATATCTTCGACAGACTTGCCGCCGAAGCTTCAAGACTTGACCACTACAACAAGCGATCCATCATCACAAACACAGGCATCAATTTGAAAAGTTGTATTTCTTTATGTCTGTCTACATACATTAACTTCTGTTTAAGCAGGCATCAACCGATTAAATATCAACTTTGTAGAGTGGCGAATTAGTTTTACTATACAAGTTTGAATCAATTTTGATTATTGTTGTTTTTTATATAGAGTACTTGCAACAAAAATGAATATGAAAAAGTGAATAACTTGTAGAAACGAGCAGCAAAGATAATAATTACTGTGTAAAATAAAAATAAAACGTATACACTTAGATCAACTGCTAATAGAAAAAAAGTCATGTAAGAACTAATACAAAATGTGATAAAAGAACTTTTAGGAATAAACCTATGCAACTTTCGAATCATTTACATTGATGTATTAAAGAATTTTCGTCCCTATATGTTTTTAAAAGACTTACTTTATATATAGTTTAAATGCATCTGCCTGTCGAGTTAAATGTTTGAGTTTTACCTTTTTTAGGTGTGTGTGTGTGTGTGTGTGTGTGTGTGTGTGTGTGTGTGTGTGTGTGTGTGTGTGTGTTTGTATAGCAGACAATTAGAGGACCTGAGACTGATTGCACACCAACAAATAGAGGACCTACCTACAGCGTGAGGACTTACACTCTAGTCCTCAAAATGTTTTCCCTTTAAATCACGTATGTAGTGCCGCTACGCTATTCTATTTGAAAATTATTAAGTACTCATATTGACGGGTGTACTGGAGTGGTATACACTTATTACGCACATTTTTCTTTGTCACGTGACTTGACACTGTGCGAAACGCGCACCTGCTATGAATATTCATTATCATCGGGATCGTCAGGCGCTTTAAAAAATCAAGCGTCTATTCTTGCAACAAGCCGCCATTTTGGACCACGATAGTCAGGTAAGAGTGTCTTTTTATTTTCCTATAGAGGACATTTAACTTAATGAAAATCATTAAATTGTCGTCGGGAGAAGGTGCAGTAGGTTTTGTTTAAGCAAATACGTACAAAGGTTAAGATTCAATTGAAGACTATTGTACATTTCACCACTTTGTTTATTTCCCGGACGTTCATAGCAAAAAATATTTTTATTCACGTACATGTACATGTATGATAGTGCTCTGAAAGTAGCTGTATTTCTTAAATTAAAAACTGCATATTTAAAGGTCGTATTTGTAAACATTATAAATGATAAGCTAAAAGGTGTGCGTGATTTTTGTTGTTGTTTTATTTTAGTTTTTTTTTTTTTTCATATTCTGCAAAAAACAAAACGATTCGCCCCCATTACGGCTCGTCTTACTATTCAATTCGTGTTAGTTTAAGTATAACATATTTTATTTGTTTAGAAATGTCTATGTTTTTGGTGCATCTTATGTTTATGGAGAAGAAAATCAGAAACAATATGAACTAACAATTCTGTTAAACCATTCTGACTTCCTCCACCAGTAAAGCTGGAATGTCGCGATATGGCTTATACTGTGTCAATGTGACGTAAAACCCAAAACAAACAAAAAACCATTCTGTATGGTATCTTTAACTCAACTCACAGACCACAGGCTCCGCGTTTTATTTTCCTTTCATGGTTAAAGTAAACGATCAGCAGTGTTTAGAAAGATAAATTTACAAGTTTTAGTTGAGACATAGATCTATAACATAGATGTTATCTACATCTGTGGACTATAAGATATTAAAAGAAAAAGAAAATTTCTTATAAATAACTTTCCAATATACATTCACAGCTATAACTTTGCATACATGATGAAGATCTAGTCATGTTTGCAATAATAATAGTAGTAATATTAATAATAGTGAGTAAATAAAACAATTGGGAAACTCTTTCTAATGCAGTCATGCAGGAAACGGATATTTCAAGATAATTCGATATAGAATACAATATAGGTACTTCAAATATTTCCCAAAAATATTGAGTTAATAAAACTTCAGTCAAAATGTCCATGCCAACACTTATACTTATAGAAAGGGTTACTTAACACTTAAGTTCCTCTCTTATTCAAATTATTTTTAGTACCATTACTGACGTGTTTCACTGAAACAAATGCTACATCTTAATATCAGTAAGATTTTCACAATGGGTGTGATGGTTCAACTTCAAGGAGTAATTCAGTTAAGGAATTTTTCGGAATTTAAATGTAACTGTGTATATTATGATACTACTTTCACTGTTTAAATTCGAGGTATTTTCACTCGTAAGTTTTTTGTTTGTTGTTTTTTGGTTTTTTTATGAAATTTATTTATGACTGCTGGAATAGTTGTAAATATTGAATACAATTATTTACTCATTAACATATACATTCTATTCATGGTTGCCTAAGCATTCATGAAAGTTTGATCACCTAAAAATCAAAAGTTTCTAGTATAAAATACGTTAACGCATTTCAGTTTTTAACATTTTTATGCAATTAATATATATTTGGTTGTGTGTGTTCTTAAATTAGGCAGCTAAGCCCTTGACATGTTATTAGTAATTTAGTTGTCTTATACCTAAATGGGAGTGCCAGTATATTAGTGATGTCACTACCGTTTTTTTTTTCTGACTCAAAGGATGTTGTAAATGAGGAACTTGAAGTTAAATTCATAGACTGCTACAAATGTATGCTTTAAATCTTCATTAAGTTGTTTGATACTCTGCTTTCTTATTGCTTTTTTAGAGTTAAGTTCATAACAAACTAGAATCTAGACTAGATCTACTCGTATGATGCAGTAAAGAATTTTTAGTAAACAAACTATTTTATTCATATTTGTAATGACTATAGAATGACAATCTGTGTGAGAGTGACACAAACTATGAAAGTTTACAAATAAATAAGATCTGAAGGTTAATTTTCTCGAAATGTTATTTTGACAGATTGTACCCCACCCACATTTGTAAAATTAATTGCTACACAAATCAAAATGTACCAAGGCAAAACGTACTCAATTCAAAGTAAAAGCAAATTAAACATTGTATTTTATTTTACTTCTCTGCCTGTGGTCAAATTGTTCTCTGGAAGATGTCCACCCTTCCATTAGAAATAGTCTATGTTTATTAGAGTGATGTGTTATTAAATTGGAAGTGGCTAATCGTACAGGCCCGTACGGCTAGCCAAAAGTTCTAGCTGTATGTGAGTCATATACAGCTAGCCAGGACACACTGTATTAGCTAGATGTACGGTACTTTTTAGCTTGACTATACAAAGTATATGGAATGCTGTCCTAACTCGCCTCAGCGTCCACATCCAGATTTCAGATTAAAGTTTGGTGCAGTGAAATATTTTTCAACCTCAAACTTCAAATATATGTTCAATATCAACCACATCTTATGTGACAAGGTTCATAACTCTAGGGCCAATATTTTCAGATTTATCTCCCCTTGAACTTAGAATTTTGCTTAAAAAATATTATTTTTACTTTAACTTTTTCATTTCTTAAGGTATCAACTTAAAACTTTAAATATATGTTCCTTATCAGAAACCACATCTTATTTGACAAGGTTCATAACTCTAGCACCTAAATTCTCAGATTTATCTCCCCTTGCAGCATGCCTATTCTTCACTACAGTGCGTAATTCAGGCACAAAATTCTAGATGCAGGCATAAAAATTGTAAGCAGGGGGTGCATGCACACAAAGTAAAATCGTCAGAATGAATGTTTCGGTCCAGGATCAGGGGTTTTTTTTAGGAAAAGGGGAAGACGCTGGTAGTGAGGGGAAAAATATACGAAAAAAGTCAATTTGGGGAAAACTGATTTCCAGAAATAGTACTACCGTTCAGTACGGGATATAGCCAAGAAAAAAAATAGCTGCCTCCATGTTGAGACACTTTTTGCAGTTTCCTGCAATGTTTTTGGTTATTTTGAACTACAATTGGTGGTTTATCCTGGATAAAATGGAGAAAATTAATATTTTAAACCATAAAAATATTAAATCTGATCCAGTTTAAAGGAAAAAAAGAATTTTTGGGGGGAAAAAACTTGGCTATTTACCGAGGGGAAGACACCGACTATCGGTGCCAATTTGTTAGTAAAAAAAGAGTGAAAGGATTAGCCTAATAATTATATGCATATCAACTAAATGTCGTTGTTATCTTCCAATGGTTTGGAACAGTACAAAACTGGTCACAATTGCATGTCTGCTTTCAAAGTCATCTCAGTCTGATTCGTAAATATTTTAGTCATGTCTTGACGTCACATATATTATCTGAAGAAAAAAAGTTTTGGATATTTACAACTGCCAAAAAGTATTTTGAGTTGTCCAATAATCAGCAAAAAGTTAGTCACTTGATTTTTTAACAACTACCTTCAATTGTGAGCTTTACGTATGTCATATGAAAATTAAAATATAAACAATTGAGATTTTGAAATAAATGTACATAATTTCGGATATACAAAATTTTGATTATTGGTAATAATCGTATGGACTAAACAAAATACCAGTGATGTTATATTGCTACCTTCAGTGATGAGTTTGTGTCTGTGTTAGTGGGTAGTAATACTAAGTGAAAGCGCTGTTCATTAATATCGATGTTGACTAAAATGTTCTTACAAACAAAAACATGTTTAAACTTATGTGTACCCCCAGATTTTGAAATGTACCCCCAATTTTCAATGAGCATGCTGCCTTGAACTTAGAATTTTGCTTAGAAAATATTATTTTTTACTATAACGTTTTCATATCTTATGGTATCAACTTCAAACTTCAAATATATGTTCCTTATCATGAACCACATCTTATGTCACAAGGTTCATAACTCTAGCACCAATATTTTCAGAAGGGGCGTCAATGGCTGAGTGGTTAATGTGGTTGACTTCAAACAACTTGCCCCTCAACACTTTGGGTTCCAGTCCGGACATGGACTTTGGATTCTATCATGTGTGGAAGCTAGCTTCAGGAATGTCGGTGGTTCTACTCAGGTGCCCGTTCGTGCCTGAAATAATGTACGGAAGGGCACCTTAGGTCTTCCTCCACCAGTAAAGCTTGAACGTCACCAAATGACCTATACTGTGTCGATGTGACGTAAATCCCAAACAAACAAAAACAAATATTTTCAGATTTATCTCCCCATTAACTTAACTTTTTTTTACTTGTAAAATGTTACTTTTACTTTAACTTGTTTAGTTTTAAGGTATTACCATCCTAATGCATTATCTCCGCTTTGAAGAGTATTCCAATAGGCTAGAACTACTGTTAACTACATTGAAAATGAGGGCTGTGGGTTCAATGCCCAGAAGGGCCAACTTTTTTTTTCTTTCTTTTTTTTTTCTTTTAACATTATTTATGTATCTCTCATGTCCCATTTGGAAAGAAAAAAATGTTTAATTTTAATTTGTTAATTTATATAGGCATTTATTGGCTAAATTATGCTAAATCTAGTAATAAATATGGTACCTGATATTTTCAAAGTGTAATAAAATCAAAACTAGACGGTAAAAGTATTTTATATTTTACAAGATCAACCATTAATATACTTCTTTGAAAATTTAGGGAAACTTTGAAAACAGGCACTCATTTGGGTAAATTTTAAGATTTGTTTTAAATTAGGCTTCCTAAGTAGGAAAATGGTCAGACACATGGTAAAAATGGGTGGGGTAGGGTAACATTTTTATACAGATTTCATAAATTTGAAGTAGAAACCATAATTTTGCTTCTGTGGATTGTTACCTGAATGGTACTATTTGTTTCTAACCAAAAATTAATAGGAAAACATTTTTCATTAGAATGTTATTGTAGATTATTTAAAGGTTCCTCATTTCTAAAAAAGGGCCCTCATAACATCCTAGCTTGAGTTCAGAAAAGTGGCCATAACTTTGTTTAAATTTTGCATACAGGTGTACTTTAAGGTATATATGTGACCTATGATGTCAAGTTTTTAGATTTTAGTTCCTTATAGTGCCCATTAGGGTGGTAATACCTTAAATGTATCTACCTCAAACTTCAAATACAGGTTCCTTATCATCAATCAGATCTTATGTGACAAGGTTCATAACTCTTGAAGCAATATTTTCAGATTTATCTCCCTTTGAACTTAATATTTCTTATTATTACACACTGTCACATAATGTATGACAGGGTCCATAACTCTAGTGTGATTATTTCCAGAATCTTTTCCCCTTGAACTTAAAATTGATGTTAACAACTATAAGTTATAACTTCTTGTCATAAGAAGAAATATGTTTATATCATAATTAATTTTTCTTTCATAGTTTTGTCTTCCTTACTGCGTCCAGTATTTAATTAGTCGAGCTTTGCTGTCTCCTGTGACAGCTCTTGTTAAAATTAGACCCCTATATGGAAGTCGAAAATGCATATGTTTTTTATGACTTTAAAGCGAGGATTTTAACCAAGAAACAGCAATTGTCTTCATATAATTTCATTTAACCCTTTCCTCCATGAGCATATTGTGAAAAATGGCCGTTTTCACTGAAAAGCCTCCTGTTACAAGTTCAAACTGCTATGAAACTATGAAAAATGCTTCAATACTAATCAAACTTGGCACAAATGTTGACTGGACCATTGCCTTTGTAACAACATGCTCAGTCTTAAATTTCCTGTTACCATGGCAATGAGGGGACATCTCAAAATTGCCAAAAATCACTATTTTGCCTCGATTTTTTCCATCAAAATTTATTTCAAAGTGCTGCAACTTCTGAAGGGATTGAGATAGAGTCAAAGGCTTTTCAGCGTTGGTTACACGTTACATTATGATCGACCTGGGGTCATTTTTAGCCTCTCACAAGTCCAAAATTTTCTTGGCGCTGAGGGGGACTCCGCCCCCCCCTTCAAACCCCCCTAACAGAAGGGGGCACATCCCCCTTCTGGCAACCCCCGGATGTATCTTTTGGATGGGGGGCGGCGCCTAAAAAGTGCTCATTTTTTTAGCAACATTTCTCAAACGGAAACATGTGTTTGGGGCTCAAATAGGACATTTTTTCACTATTTGAGGCCTAAAAAAGGGGGGGGGGTCGAAAGTGCGTTGTTTCGCGTATATATGTGGTAAAGGGTTAAGAGATTAATCATTCGCCATGTTGGCTACAGTACAGTAAAATATTAAGTATGACTATCAATCTTTGTCATTTCCAGATGGCGAGCAAAAAAGAGCGTTTAAAAATTGGTTGCAGTTGTAGAACACAATTGAAATACTCAATATTTACAGAGAATCCTTTTTTGTTTCAATAAGTTTAATTTTCAACACGTTAAATATTACAAAAAACACCGAAAATAAGTGTTGTTGGGCTCTGATATTATTGCGTCAATTTCCGACTATCATTCGGAAAAGTTTGCAATTTTTGTTTCGTGAAACAGTATTCTAAAATACTATTGTCAGTCCCTGGATAGGCTTTAATTAAGGCTAATTGATTGTGCTTTATACTTCTACTGTATTTAAAGAATTAAAAATTGTTTTTGCTTTTCAATGTTTTTTTTTCAATGTTCTTTTTATTTATTTATTCCACTACAATCATTCCGTTATGAAAAAGCTTCATTTGCTGTTATGATTATTTATTCGATTCATGTGGGTAATTAACAACAAAATTATTCAATAATTCATCTTTCATGCAAATAAAACAACAAATCATAATTATGATAAACAAGGACGCTATAAATTATAAATATAACATGCACTTTTTTTTACTTTGACACTTTTATCAAGAATACAACGCTTGTAGATCTATTACCTTGGTATTTTGTTTTTATACAAAATAGCGGAGCATATCTTTATTAAAGTGAATAACAAGGACAAATGCCAGGACTTGGTTAAAATCTGCGTTTAAAGGCACAAATAACATATGCATTTTCAACTCTTATATAATTTTGAAAAGTACCGTACGGCAAGACAATACAGTGTGTCCTGGCTAGACGTATGTGACTCATGTACGGCTAGAACTTTTGGCTAGCCATACGGGCCAGTACGGCTAGCCACTTCCTATCAAATTTTATTAGCTGAGTTCTTATCAGTTTTTATTAGAAATCATAAAGATTGTCATATATAGATGATTGTAGCTTATAAATTTAGGGATTCAATAATTATATCATAATTTTATAAGAAGGTCACAAAATTAGAATTAATTTTCAAGAAAGTCTAGTTTCTGAACAAATATAGACTAACGGCTTTATATTCTCTATATCAATGATGATTTGCAACATAATCCGGAGGGTTCGAATAGGTAAAGTGTGAATCACTATGTACATTGTTAATTTTTCATTAGAATAGACAGTAAAGAGGAAAACACATATAGTCTACAATGAGTATATATATCCTTAGGTGGTTTATCTAGATTTTCATTTATTTATTATCATTACAGTCGGTCAAAGGTTTTCTACAATTGTTTCAAATTTATTTACTTTAATGTAACATTAAATATAACAAGAGGAAACATTTAATTAATTGAGAACAAACTGAAAATACATCGGTAGGGCATAAAATACTACAAACGATATATGTCGGAACCGGTTTCTCTTTTTTGTCTGACCATTATCAAACAATAAGTGTTTGCTAAACGCCTCTGTGTTTGTTATTTGTTGCCGAGTTTGTCAATCTGTGTCATCTAATAATTGCGTCATACCATTGTGTTATTGACATGCAACTGTTCGTGGCAGTTTCTCTTGTTAAGGATTTAATAAAAGATATATTAAAAAAGCCTGAAAATATTAGTAAAGGCATAAAATCTTACTGGTCATGCATGACGATCATTTTTTGAAATTAAATAGATTTGTCATGGAGAGTGGTCAAGCGAAATTGAATGTTTCCACCCCTTTTTAGCATGAAACATTTTTTTTGGTTATAATTTTAGGTTCTGGTGTGTTTGCATTTGAAGATATTTCTAAAGGCAAGCTTTTAACTTGGTATGACGGAGAACTTATGTCTCATGCAAAAGGTTACAGTAGGCATGCAAGCAACAGATGTAAGGATTGCTCCTCTACTTTTGGTAAGTTACATGTTTCTATAGGTTGCATATTTTCCATTTCCTGTCCCTTTAAAGCAGCTGACCTCCAGAAAATAGCAGAAAAACTGCCGTCTTGTTAATATTTCAAAATCCCCTCTCAAAAATGTTATATAGTTGAAAGAAATCGAAATGACACTTCAAAATGTTAATATTTTAACATTATTGCTCTGAAAACAGTTCGCTTTTGCATCAACGGGAAATACCTTCTTTTATTATACCACAGAATTCTTTCATCTGTTTTTTTTCTAGTATCACATGATCGTACAGGACAATATTCGCGACCTGTACTCTGGAACGCACAGGATTTTATCAAACATATAGGGATACGATTAACTGCTTTTGTTTTTATATAATTTGTAGTAATTCGTGGCACTAAAAATTATAATTGATTAATTATTTCATATATATGATAACCAATTTATCGATTTAACCTTTAGCTTGAAATGTGGTAGGGGCCTACTTAATGACGAAACTTGATAAACGTTCCTGGGCATGTCGGATACCGGGATTTTTCCGGATCAGTGTTGTTACACGTGACCGCGTTAAATGAATTATCTTCTATTTATTTTGGCTACTGCGTTAGTAACTTAGTAGATTATGGAAATGAAAACCCGATATATAAACACTTTTGTCAACATTCTTTCTTGAATTAAGGTGTCAGTTAAATGATGGATTCATACAATTAACTTAACTATAGATCAGTATTTACCATTTACTTGAAATTTTATTTCATTTTTATCATTTTACCATCTGGAGGTGGTTTTAAATTAAGATAACTGTAACATAATATATAATAAAAAATATTTATATCAAGAGGCTCTGATTCGATTCCCATAGCAAATACTAGTATAAAAATTTCAATTTGATTCACAGCTAAAAATATATAAGCACTAAAGAAAATGCAAGTTTTAGTCCCTCTCTAACTATTATAATGCATTGTTACTTGAAATACGACTGATTAATTTAACTCAGTCATCCTATCAGTAAGCGCGTAATGTTGTATTTTCCTAAAGCAAATCAGAATGGCTTCAAATGTTAATGTAGAAAAAATAAATCTAAAAATCCTCCATCATAACTTAAATAACAGGTGTGGGAACACTTCTGGTTTTGCGAGGGTAAAGATAAGTTATGCTTTGCTGGCATGTCATGCCCGTATTCAGTAAGTACAAATAACATGATACAATGGCTTCATTTTAACAGTTACAAGCTTTAACAGTTACAAGCCGCGGAGCTGCTGCAAAACATAAAAAAAAGAAATATACTGGGAAACTCTAAATAATTTTAAATAAACCACTTTTTATTTTCATGAAAACTACTTTGCTAAAATAATAAGTAAGGGATCAAATAAGTTGAGACAACTAAAAAATGCTAAAATTAATGTTTAAGGGCCAAAAATATTACAGCAAATAAGCAAAATTATCAAGTAAAGACAAAACAGTAATCACACATGAATCAAATAGAAAAAATTCAAATCTGGGTTCTGAACTCAAATTGAATCAGGGCTTTTTTTCCTTCTATAACAGGGGCCGATATATTTAGACCCCTTCACAATTTAAAATTGCACTTTGTTTTCACAAAGCTGGGGGGAAAAATTCACAATTTCAAAAGAGATTTCACAAAATATTGGGACTTTATCTTCGAAATACTAAAATTGTAGACCTTCATGTAAAACTTAATTTACGCTACTTGCAATAACACAGAAATAGTTTTAATCAAGTTAAATGGTTTTTGGGCATGTTAACTGGGTTAAAGTACCGACTCAAGGCCGATTTTACAAAGGTCAGAAATTATAATCAACCATTTCCAGTTTCAAAATGTCGCGAATTGCAAAGTAATGTGTATTTTTTTCACAATTTTATGACATAGCGCGCTTTTTTTCCACAAAATTAACACAATTTTGACAAAATTTGCCCTGTGAATCAAACTTTTAGTGTATCTTTGCAGCCCTAGTTGCCTTTCTTCTTGTTTTCACGGTGTGCGTTGTTTTCTTTTTATAGCATTTAGAGGACCTGTGTGAGGATGTTTTTCAATGAGAGGACTTACACACGGGTCCTCTGATTGTTAATTTTCTTTGATCTAGTTTAAAGTAGCTTCGATAATATGATTCCTATTGATTCTTAGAAAATTTAGAAGTCCCCATTTTAATAGGTTTTTAAAAACATTTGAAAATGTAATACAATTTATTAATGAATTTTAGATTTTGAAAAGTCAGGAAGTTTGCAAAAGAAAATACATGTATTACCAAATTTGCTTTTTTTTTATTTTTTCTCTCTATAAGTGGAATTATACATAGCTTTTTATCCTTCATAGCAAGATGTGTAAAAGGCATAATGTTAAGGACAAGTTTCAAAATGTCGCAAATTGCAAAGTAATATTTTTTTTTCACAATTTTATGACATAGCGCACTTTTTTTTCACAAAATGAACACAATTTTGACAAAAAATGCCCTGTGAATCGAACTTTTAGTGTATTGTTGCAGCCCTAGTTGCCTCGCTTCTTGTTTTCACTGTGTGTGTTGTTTTCTTTTTATATCATTTAGAGGACCTGTGTGAGGATGTTTTTCAATGAGAGGACTTACACACGGGTCCTCTGATTGTTAATTTTCTTTGATCTAGTTTGAAGTTGCTTCGATAATATGATTCCTATTGATTCTTTGAAAATTTAGAAGTCCCCATTTTGATAGGTTTAAAAAAAAAAAAATTTGAAAATGTAATACAATTTATTTATGAATTTTAGATTTTGAAAAGTCAGGAAGTTTGCAAAAGAAAATACATGTTTTTTTGACTTTTTCTCTCTATAAGTGGAATTATACATAGATTTTTATCCTTCATAGCAAGATGTGTAAAAGGCATTATCTAAGTTGCAACGTGAAGCCGTGACCGTCACACATCAAACGTTAATATTCACATTTATGTTTCATCCTTTTCATTTCAACTATTGAGATTATTAAAAATTATCAAATTATCACCATCATAAGACAGTAGTTTTTAATGCATGGTGTGTAATAAGCTTGGCTTTGTTGACATCATGTGACCACATTATCTTAATGTATCAACAGATATTTGCATATACATGTAATGGCTTAATAGCGGATATGGGAATGCTGAAGTATTTTTTGAATTTAGAGTTGAATGTCAATAATATTACTTCTTTTCATTTTGGTTTGTCACAATATTTTTTAATTGATAACATGCTTGTACTTGTGATTCACCTAGCATGAATACATGAAGACATTTTAAGACGCTAATGAACATACATAAATCATCAGTCCTAGAGACATTCAACAGACGTTTATGAAAATCATGTTCTTGATGGTATGGAGAAACTATTTTATAATTGTAATGTATACCAGTTATTATTATATATAATATCATTATTCAGGGTTATTAAAAGTTTTGTAAAGGCTAAAAATATAGTGGATTATGACTTTTTTCAGCATTGACACCATGCATTCATCAGGAATTCGTAAAATGATAAATGGCAGCCACTAAAAACCAAACAGCAAAGTTGTAACTGAAGATAAAGAGCAATTTCAGCATCAGACCAATACTGAGAGATGAAAAATGTGCTTTGACTACCATTAGATCCTTAGGCCCCTTGGAGAAAGGTGTGTATTAACAAATTTGACATGTGATGAAGACATGCAAGAAATATTTTTTAAAAAATTGGGCAATCCGTTACTGATAATGGATGCCATTTTGAATGAAATAATTATCTTAATAGTACAGACGTGTACAACCACAACACAATTTTATATTTTACAAGTCCAGCAGATCGTCTGTATGACAGAAAAAGTGAAAATATCTTTTTTTTTCCACATTATAAGTCAAGCAAACAGGTGTAATTATTATGGCAATTTTGTTGTCAGGACCATATCCACCACCTGCTGGAGCTTAGACTCAGATGCATAACCTCATTTAAATGCATCTAGTTGCTTTTGACAATAAATTGCCAGGGATAGATAGTGGCAGCAATTCTGATGCATTTATGCAACTCCTCATCCACAAGGGCTTACATATAACAAAATGTGTATGTGTGTCACGGTGCAACAGGTGACAGGTCCCCATACAGTTTAACATGCATATGTCAGAAACAGTTTTTCTCTCTCTACATCATTGGGTGCAAGTCCTCACACTGATGGTTTATATGATAAATCAGAAATTGCATCAGTGAAAAAAAAATGCAGAGCCTGTAACACATATAAAAGTCATTTTAGCAAGTAAATTGCTATAATATTGTCTGAAGTATATACATCTTTATTTTAAGAGTTGTATGAAATTCAAGGGGAATTGGATTACAAAGGTCAAGAGTGTCTAAGGGTGATCTTCTACAATTCAAAAAGAGGCAATAAATACTACGATAGGTAAATTTATTTATTTCGTTAAAACAAGCTCTGTTCCTCTTAACTTCTTTTTTTTTTATTGTTACAGTCATGTCGGCTTTGCCGTTACCACCTGCAAATTTAACCTTAGTCATAACTTTTTAAATTGTAGGTGAATTGCCTTCACACTTAGCTGCAACAACCTTTGGGACAAGATTTTCAAGTACACCAGACTAAACTTGACCTTCATTCATAAATGACCTTGACCTTTAAGGTTAAATGTAAACATTTTGCTTATTGTTTGCTAATTTTTGCTTTAAGTGGCTGTAACTTTATCATTCTTTAATGGATTGTATTCAAACTTGAATATAACAATTTTCTAGAATTGACCTTTAAGTTAATCAGACAGATCTTTACCAGACATTGACCTTAAAGGTGATATTATTGAATTTTTATATTTTTTGCTGTAACTGGCTATAACTTTACAATTATTTCTACATGTATATCAAACACAAATAGTTGTTAACTCATTTATAACCTTGACCTTGAAGGCCAAATTATTTATTTTCCATTGATTATTACTATAATTGGCTGTTATGTTTGATAATTCATCAATGAATTAATTTTATATTTTGACAAAACTACCTTTTGGACAAGACATTTTGTTACTTGTTAATCAGTACATGTATGGATTATCTTCATACTTTGATAAAACAACACTACTGGGATCCTACAATTTTACCGGACAATCAGTTTATCGGACAAAATCTATTCCAGTCAAATAAGGCTTTATTTTTTGCTTCAATTAAAAAATCTTCCGGTTTGAATCATACACACACTTTCTACTGCAAAGTAAATAACAACAAAACCACTCTCAGGAAAATATTGTTGATTCAGTTCTTTATTTACTAACATACGCTTTAGTTTACTAGTTATTCCATGACCTGGTCATGCGGGGGAATAATCTGTTCTGCGCATTTCCGAATAATGAGGCCCTTAATGGGTTATTAAACTTATTTTAGATAGATTTTACTTTTAATTCTTCTCAAAGTTAACTCAAGAGACAATTGTAACATATTTTAAGGATAAAAAATAATTTTAAATTTCGTTCAAACAATATCTTGTTGTTGTCTTTTACAAAGAGGTGCAAATTAAAAACATATAAGGAAACGGGTTACGCACATGGGAGGAAACTCTACATGAAATGTACAAAAATAGACTTTATGGCTTTTGCAACATGCTACATGATGATCAAAAGGAAACTGTATGAGAAAGAACAGAATTCCATTTGAATATCAAAATGTGTCATACTTTTAAGGATCATGAAGAATCAATACGTTAATTGAGTTAATAGTGTTTATTTCAATTACACCCCTAGATTGGCCTCTTCGTAACAAGCATGGCTGCCGTGTCTACTTTAGTGACATACTGGTTTTTTCCAGTATCTTAACATTGCCATTCAATAGTCGTAGTTTCCTTGCTTAATTTCAATTTAACACTTCAAAATATTTTGAAACACAATATCCGGTGAATTGAGTTGTCTGCACAATTTTTTTCCTCTTTTAATGCCCTACTTTAAAGACACATTTCTACGGTCAAAAGTTTAATAAGGAATGTTTACGTATTATCAGAGCCCACAATTATTTGGGTAAAATTTCATTCTTTTCTATTATTTTAAATAAAGTTACAACGAAAAAACATCATATTTTGTCCGGTAATATGTAGGATTCCAGTATGGAAGGTTGAACTGACATTGACATTGAGCTTAAAATGACCTTGATCATCAAGGTCAAAGTATTGAATTTTTGTTAAGTTGTCATAATTTTGTTATTTATGTACAGCTTTGATTCATAAGTTGACAAAGCAATACTTGTGACCAAACAGACATGTGGAATAATTAAGATATGACCTTGACCTTAAAATGACATTGATGGTTAAATGATTGAATATTGGAACATCATTTAAATTAATGAACTTTTGCACAATAGATGTGAAGTGGTAATTCTGTTGTACTATTTTGTTCCACTTTTTCACATTGTCCTATTAAAATGAGAAAGTTAATATGAACATTTTAATTATTGATTTCAGATGGCTTTGAAATCAGCAACTAGTGGAAATTAAATTTGAATTATGTATATTTTTTGTTGCAATGGCTATTTCATTACCAAATTACAGTCAATTGATTTATTATATTCAAGTATTGCATTTGGTCCATATTTTTTATACTGCAATTAACTACTTATTATTATGTCCTTGTTTCTGCAGTAATTGAGTTAACAAAGAGGGTGTTCTTTAAAAAAACTAACAATATTTTGCCTTGATACATTTTTTTGAGTATTCTGGATTGCTGAATGTATTATCTAAAGGTAATCCAGCTCCCTTGTACCTAGTATATGAGTATTTTGGGGGTATTCCAGTGTTTTGAGAGTATTCTGGTATTTCGGTTATTCTTTCTTATATAAATAGCTTAGATATTTAATATGCAGCAAAATATTTACAAGTATTCTGTTATCAGGTGGGCGATCTGGATCAAATGAAACGGAAGGCAGAATTTTTGTTATCAGGCCTAATTGGGTTACCATATGAACCATCAATGTGAGGACTTACATTCCGTTATATAGGCCTTATGATGACCTGTAACATATATACATTCTTTAACGCACTTGATTATAAGGTCTATTATAATTATGTACATATCCAGTAATTAAGACAGGAAAGACAAATCTTCATTATGATTAGGTATGATAATCAGAAAGATGCAAGAAATCATACAGAGGAAGACTTAATTTGGTATTCTGCATTTTCAAGGCTCTTTTTTAATAGTAAAGCACTGAGAATAGTTGAGTCAGCTTGCATACATCTTGCATTCATATTTAATCTCTCAATGCGTTATGGCAATTAACTTTATAGCATAGTTTGAATAAAATGCCTATTCTGATTTAGAGGTAAATTTTGCCAATTTAATAAGTAAATTGCTTCAGGAATTGGAGAGAGGAAACCTTAACAAGTATAAGGGACAAAGTTTTGATTAAATTTTGCCGACACACATTTAGTTTTGATAAAGATACCATTTTGAGGACCTTGATAATAAAATGTTTGACTTTTTTAAATGTGAGGACTTACACTGTAGTCCTCAAATGGTATCTTTTGGAATATTTTTCAATTTAATTTTGTCAATGTTATAATTAAAACATGCATCAACAGATTTTTTAAAGGGTTAAGGTAACACACTAAGTCTGGTCTGTACTGTAAGTCATGCATTAACAGTCTTTGTAATGATTAATCCAAAAGTGGAATGGTAAGGTAAAATTTCGCTAAAAGACAAATCAGTAAAACAATAGCAATATGAATTTTTTAATATTTAATAATAAACCCTGCTTAATATTGTTCATTGTCCTGAACAATTCATCTTATAGTTACCATTGTTTTTCTACTGTTGAAAAAAAAACATACTTTTTTATATATACTTATACTTAATATGCTTATTTGAAGGCATAAATTGTCTTTGCATTTATGAGTAAAGTAACAAGCTTTAAAAAATGAATATGTGAATAAGATATAACAATTATTTGTGTTGCTTGGTCTTGAATTTAACACAATCATGATATGGTTATATATGACAGAGCTAAAGTGTTCAAGTAAACAAATGAAATACACATGTATTGATTTGTTTTTTCAAAGATTACAAAGTTGTAGACTAACATTATAATTTCTGACAAAAAAAAAACTTTTTTAAGTTTCATGGTGCTTTAAAACTAATGTTTGTGGTCAAATCTCAACACAAAGTTTTTTAGAATACTCTTGCTTGTCTGCACCCATGATAATATATAGATATTATCGGGAACGCAGCAAATGTGGGTTATCCCCAGCTAATCCGGGGGTAGAAACAAATTTTCCTGATTATAGCTTCACAGTGGAAGCTTAAAAATAGTTTTAAAGCCAAAAATTACTATTTGCAATGTCATGTTTGTACCCCTGATAAAAAAAGATTTGTCTGTTTATGAAGCGGGGGTTTTTCCCCCTCTTTTTCCAAAAATGCCCACGTCAAAAAAACGAAAAAATTGGGGAATAAACGTCCCCCTTTTGTGAAAATGTTATTTAATTATTTTTTTGGAAAATGACGGGAGTCATATTTTTTTTTTATGAAAAAAAAATTTCCCTGAATTTCGTGCATCTTGTTGTTTTCCATTTTAAAAAATTTGTTTGTTAACGTTTTACAATTAAAATGTATTCCCATTTTCTATTTTTTTTTTAAAAAAATTGAAAAATTTAAAAATTGATTATTCTGGGCCACTTAAAAAGGGGAAAAGAATATTCCCTAAAAAAAGTAAAAAACCCTATACGTAAACCCCAAGGGCCCAAAAAAGTAAAACTTATAGAAGGGACCCAAAAGAAAAGGGAAGGTCCTTTTTTAAAAAATATGAAAAAAAACGTATGCATCCAAAAAATTAAAATTTGGGGAAAAAGTGTTATGATGGCGCCGCTGGGAACATCCTTACCTAAAAAAATTACCAGGAAAGTAAAAATTACGAAGCACAACGGGGAAACCTATGCTGGGTTACAAAAAATTCTTTTAAAAAAAAGTTTTAATAAAAAGACAAAAGCCGTATATATGGTTGAACAGAAAAGTGGTTTAAAAGAAGGAAATAATTTGTTGATTTCTTTTTAAGAAATTTTGCTCAGGTGAATGATTGGAGCCTTTTTTCCTTTTGTTTTTTTTTTACATTTAAAACTAGCAGTTTTATTCATTCCGTGGTGCGGCGATTTTTCTTTGAGGTTTTCATTTTGGTCATGCTTTTTTTGTAATAAAGGCCCCGTGGCAAATTTTAGAAAAACTCTTTTGGAAAAAAATGTGCGTTTTTTCCAAAACCGTTATTTATAAATAACTTGGGTTTAAATTATCCTGCTGAGATAAAAATTTCGGGCCCTGGGCCCAAATGGATTTAGCTTTCAAAGAATATCTGCTATTTTTTTTTAACTATTTCTTTAAAAAAAGTTGACTGTTTGAAATTTAATCAAAATTTTTCGGACTGATAAATTTTATAAACATGTAAAAATTTTTAAAACTTTCATCAAAAATTTTTTTGTTTTTGTTTTTTTGTTTTTTGCTGTGTAAAAATTTTTAAAACAACTGGTGTAATTGGAATGTTGTGAATTTTTTCTGCTGTAAAAATGTTTTTTACTTTGATTTTAAACCCTTATTGATTGTGGGTTTATTTTTTATAGGGAAAATTGAGTATTAATTAAAAATTTTTTAAGGGGTTTAAAAATCAGTTCCTCCTTAATTTTATTTCTTTGTGATGTTGTTATGTTTTTAATCATTTTTAAAACTAAAGTATCTTTTATATTTTTAATTTACTTTAAGCTTTACCTTTTTTTTAAAAAAAGAAATTATTTTCGTCTGTGGTTGCCATTGAAAAAACTTTAAAACCCTTTTCTAAAAAATTTTTTAATTTTTTTGTGTTTGTTTAATTGGTCTCCCCTTTTGCAGATTTCAGTGCTGACTAAAAAAATTCCCTTATTTATAAAATTCCTTTACTTAAAAGGGTTAAAAATTTTTAAAATTTTTTCTTTTTGGGATTGCGTTATTTTTGGCTGTATCTTCGTTTTTTTGTCTGGAAAAAATTAAAAAAGAATAAAATTTTTTGGTGACCTTTTAAAAAATTTTGGGGATTCAAGCTAAAATGACCCTTGATTGG